CACATCTGACATCCATCCCCCAACTACACCCCACACTCCCCCCACACACAAGTACCTACATATATTTCTAAAGAAAGTACAAATCGTGTTATATTTAGTTTAATTTGTAAAAATAATAATAATAATGTAATTTTGTATAATTTTGAATTGTCTGCACAGAATTTTGAATTTTTCTGTGCATAATTTCCTGGGGTATAATAATCTGTTACAGGCTTATAAGTGCCTCCATGAAAAGCCTACATTATTTTGGTTCCTATTTTTACTAATTTTGTCTTAAGCACAGTTCTTTGAAAGATGGTAATGTGAGAAAAATAGATAATTTTGGCAACAAAACTTGCTCTTAATAGAAGGAAAGCTGCTTCTGAATAGAATAATTTTGTTAATACTTATTAAATCTGTCAACATGTATTTGTCATGTAGTGAAATGACAATTATAGACGTCAGAGAATAAATATTTGCCTTTGCAAATTACTTTTTTCCAATTTTAGAGTTGCATTGCAAAGTGTAAAGGAAGCAACCTATATGCTTATTTTACTTGGTTACTGACAGTTTAAAATTTTGCATACCTTTTTTCTATTGCAGTTTTTCATTTATAAACTCAGTCTGCACTTAGGTTGCTTACAGGCCTCGACTGACCTAGGGTTACAACTGTTGGCAGGCACTTACTGCTTAAGTCAGGTTACTTATTTTTGCTTGCTTAATTTTTCCTTGCTTCCTTTTTGCGGTAAAATGCTATATATCTGCCTTTTTAGTTTAGGAAATTACTTTGCGTACACGCTAAATAACAGAAGCTACAGAAGCCTGTTATTAACTAGTGGTAACTTGAACGCTCACAGTCTACCTGGGTATTTTGCTAAATTTGTCTTCCATGTCAGGAAGCTCATCCATTCTGCCTTGCAAACATTTATAACCTCGTGGCAGGGTGATCTACAGTTTGGTCTTGGTACGTTCCTTGGACTTGGTGTCTTCAACTTCTTTTTTCTCAAGTGTGCTCGCACAAAACTAGTTTAGATAACACTGGTTTTCCTAGTCGCTTGCAATGTGCTTGAGCTAGCAGATTTTCAGTTGTCAGCTCTTGATATTGTAAAATAACTTATTTATTCTTTCAACTCTGCAGCCATTCCTAAATATGATGGCATGCTTAAAAAAAAAGGCAGGGGGGAGGGAGTAAGAGTTAGGGCTTTAATCTTGTGCAAATATACTGTTAAATTGAGGCATAAAAATACTGCCTAGTACCTTAACATGTGTTCATCAAAAGACCAACACACAGAAGTATTTTAGATGTGTTCCAGTTCTTTTAAATATAAAAAATTTAATTTTTTAATTTTTATCTGAATCATTTTCCTCCCATATAAAATAGAAGAATAGTAATATGCTGTAGCCTACTCACTGACCTAGAAAAGTCCCCTCCCAGTTTATTCTTTTCTAAGGCAGAAATGGCAGTAAAGCACCTAGCTCCTGTTGACTTTCAGTAGGAAAGTGAGCTTCTAGTTTAATCAACTTAAGATGCTGAAAGCTACTGAAAAGGCTTCAGAATACCACATAGTGCAAATGCCACTGTTCTGTGCAAGTTAAAATACATCCAGGTATTCTTCGAGTCTTGTAAAAAGCCTGAGATGAGGTGAAATGGTCAATTGCTTTTGACTCATAGCAGCAAAAAAAATTGTTTCCTTTGCTTTTATTTAAGTTGTCTTCAGTGAGGACTAGATTCCATGAACCACTATCCTCTTACATATGGAGTCTGTTTCTTTAGTACTTAAAATATTTTAATGGTTTATAGAGCCTTGAGCATAAGGTAAATACTCTTCTTTCATAGTTTAATCTATATAAATAAAGGCATTTGAGTAGCATACAAGACAGTATGTACAAGGACTAAATAGAGCTCTGTCTAACATCTGTGGTTAGCTTAAAGCATTGCTTTGCCATTTTTTTTTTTAAATCCAGGGAGTCTATTTGCCTATTCCAGGTGGATGTTAGTACATTTGAAAGACTTACTTTTACCTTGCATTACATGCAATAAGCAGCATTAATGAACGTAACTATTTGTACTGTATTTACTCCAATGCAAGACGGTGTTTTCCCCACCCCCCATCAGCACAGGGGGGAACCCCTCATCTTACATTTGCATACAAAGAAATTTCACTAAATACACGGTCTATCATTAAACTGCTGCCAAAAGCAGCAGGTACTTAGTAATGGAAACCAACTACGAAGTTAATTTAAACACAGCTAACACTGAGCATGACTATAAAACACACAGCCTGTGATGGGCAAACATGCTGATTAGAGTCTACCATAAGGATAGGTTAGCACGGCTCATCTAAATAAGATGGTGGCCATTGAGCACAGACTCCCCTTTGTCCCCCTCCCGATTTTATTTTTTTCTGCTGTAGCAGTGGGAGGTAGACAAATTCAAGTTAAATCTCCAATAATTAGTTCCCTATCTGGAAAATTGTAACTAATTTTATAAATTTTCCAGATAGAGAATCAAATTATTGGCTGGGGTTATCTTATATTCAGGGTTGTCTTTGTATTCAAGTAAATACAGTATATATTCGCAGTACCCTAAACATTAGAAACTCATTAGTAAGGCCCCAACATTCAGAAAACGTTTTTTTTTTATTATTTTTTTTTTTTTAAGGGGTGGGAGGGGTTCATTATTTGCCACCTGGTTTCTGACCCTATGGCATATATTTACATTCACATTTTCTCCATGATGACAAGGTGAGGAACTTATTTTTATAATGAAACCTGATACTGTTTTTCATTTTACATTTCTGAAGGATTTGTGTTTTCCTAAGGCACCAAGTCATGAGACCATAATAAAATGAGCTGGCAACACTGTGTTCCTTTCTGTCTTCACCCAAGAACATAGAGCAGGAAGGAACAGCTGCAGGGAATAGCCTTGTGGTATTTGCACTCACACTCACAATTGGTCCTGTGTGCAGATTTATTAAAGTTTGGACCTGTTTTATAGCTTTCAGCAGCCTTCTTGCACATTTAACAGAGACTAATTGAATGAATGCATCAAGTAATTTTGGCACCTGAAAAAAAGTTAGCTTTATAACTTCAGTCATAGAGGTGTATACACCTTTAACAAACATTTCATTCCAAAGTCACACTTCAGTAATAAAGTACTTGGCTGCTCTACAACTGTTACCTCCCACTCATTGATTAGGTTTATTTTCAAAGTTTCATAAAGCCACAGAGAAGTTGGGTTGTTTTTTTTTTAACAGCATTAACCCTTCCTTGTTAAGTTGTGGAATGCCTTTGTCAACTTTATTTGGTATTATTATTATTTTACTTGCATTAACAGCAACTGCTGTGTAAAAATTAAGTATTACTTGTGGCAAAGTAAATCACGCTAATCTTCGTATGCTGAAAATCTGATTTCATATTAGCATTCCAAAAAGTTAGTAAAGATTGACAAGTACAAAGGATCAACTTGTGGTCATTGCACCAGGTTGTGACATAATGATGAATGCTGCAGAATATATAAGACAGTAAAGATTAGATTATGCAATATGTGAATACTAAATTAAATGTCCTTTAAGAATATTATAAAGGTTTAGCAATTTTTGTATTTATTAGATGTTTTCTTTTTTTTAGGTAATGTTTGAGACTTACCAGTTTTCTGGAGTATATGTAGCCATTCAGGCTGTCCTTACTTTGTATGCCCAAGGTAGGTAACGGTAACTTAGAATGTTTGATTTCTTAATGTATTATTTGGCTGAAGTTTCAGGATGGTGTGCAGAAAAGATCTTGGGCCTAATTGACTACATACAGGGTCTTCATAAAGTCCTTGTGCACTTTTAAACTTTAATAACTTAGGTTGTAGGTATGATAGAAACAATCTGTAAAGGGCATTTAAAAGAAAATTTATTAAAGTTTTAGGACAACTAGAGTACACAATACTAGACTTAAACATAACCACCATCCATCGTGATACAGTGCTCAATCCAATATTCCAAGTCCTTGAAAACCACTTCCCAGTTGCTCTTGAGTTACTGCACTAATTGCATTGGTGATCCTATCCCTAAGTTCAACCAAAGAATGTGGTTTTGATAAATAAGCTACACTTTTAACATGTCCCCATAAAAAGAAGTCCAAAGGCCACAGGTAAGGTGAATGAGGTGGCCAAGCAATTGGTCCACCTCTGCCTATCCACTTCTCTGAGAAAATGTCATTTAGGAACTGTCGTACATTCAGAGCATAGTGACACGGAGCTCCATCTTATTGAAGAATAAATTAATTACTACCTAAAGTCTAGCATTGTGTACTCTAGTTGTCCTAAAACTGTAATAGATTTGCTTTTAAATGCTGTTCACAGATTGTTTCTATCATACATACAACCTAAGTTTTTAAAGTTTTAAAAGTGTACAAGGACTTTATGAAGACCCTGTATAAGTAAGCACAGCTGACTGGATAGTCAAGATTGTAGGGTTTATAAGGAAAAACAGATGATCAGAAGTACTCGTTGCTGGTAATTTATTTCTCCTTTCCCTGTAAACCAAAGTATATAGGTTATTGTTAAAATGTAGTCAAACTGTCCTTACATCTCTGACATTTGAAATGTAATTTTCAGGCAGCCCTTAGTGTATCTTTGGACTTCAAGAAGATGCTTTAAGACCAACCCCATTATCTTTGACCCCTTCTAATTGAATCAAATTGCAGTGAACTCTGGTTAACTTTCTATGATGGCTTATGTCTCAATTGTTCTGATTCTTTCGTGGTGCTGCATTCATGTTCCCTGCAACCTAAAAGTTACTGAGAGCTGGTTGCATTATTTGCATTCTCTTTGGAGTGCAAATTGACCCACCGTTTCTTTGTATTCACTTTTTAGTATTTACCGAACAGTTGTGAAAAGGTTTATGTGATTTGTGTTTATTTTAGGTTCAGTAGAGAGAATAGGCTTGGCTACTGTAGATAAGTTGGAAAAAATCAGAGTGGAGGTGACATTCTGCCTCCTTTGACTTAAGTGTCAGTTTGCTATTAACTGCAGTAGGCTGGGATTGAAAGAGTAAATTTCAAGCATGCATGTTAATGTGACTCCTTTCATCTCGTCTCGTTGTACCTACCATGGTCCATGGTGAATTTGACCTTTTAAATGGTAGGATATGGACCATCTTCTCATAATAACAGCTGTAACCTCAACTTTTAAGTCAAGAACAATAAACTAAGAGAGCTTGTATATGTTGGTCTGTTGTGCTACACATGTTGGATATTAGGAAAAACTTCTCACTAGGAGGGTGGTGAAGCACTGGAGCAGCTTACATAGAGAGCTGGTAGAATCTCCATCTTTGGAGGTTTTTAAAGCCCAGCTCAACAAAGCCTTGGCTGGAATGATCTAATTGGGGATGGTCCTGCTTTGAGCAGGGAGTTGGACTAGTTGACCTCCTAAGGTCCCTTCCAACCCATATTTTCTATGTTTTAAGAACAAGATATTAACAGCTGAACATGGATACGTTTACAGACTAAAGTTATAGCAGAAGAACAGTCGAAACAACTTCATCTAGTGCCAACTATGATTCCCTCCTGACCCCCTTTTTAAAGAGGGAGTAGGAGAAAAACCCCAAGCTTTTGCAAAGTGCAAAACTTATAAAAGAGAAGAAAAGTGAAAAAGATAACATTCATCCAGCTGACATATTTATGTTGCTTGAGTTAAGGTGGTGCCAAAACCCCTCCCTCAGTCCCTTTCACTGAGTTACCTGAACAATAGAAATTCTTTCCAGGCTAAAATCTGACGCACACTTTTAATGGGGGTGGGATTTTTCTTCTGATCCATTTCCTTCACTTAAAGGGAGATGTACTCAGCATTCCCACTTTAGCTTAGGTTAGGGGATGGCTAACCTGCAACAAGTGGCATAGGGAGTTGTCATGTGGGGCACATGAGTCCCAGGTGTTCAGTAAAGGGAGATGCTAGAATAGAGGCAGGGAGGCATGTCTTTGGTTGCATGGAGTGGAGCAGGATCAGGATGTTGCTGCAAGATGGTGTCAGGTGTCCCCTTCCCTGGCCTTGCAGCTGCCACGAATTTCAGGACTTAGGGTCCTTCTTCACTACATAAAACTGTAGTGGTTGGCAGAGCCCTTGAAAGGCTAACTTGGCTCTTGGCATTGATGCTTCTCTTACAGCAGTGTCCTCCTCTGCTCCCCATGGCTGTTAGGCTCAAGCCCTTATGCCTCCATACCAGAGCCTAGGACACAAAATCTATCATGCGTGTCTCTGGGGAGTGAGGATCAGAATGGCATTTGGGGAGAGGGCTGGCCTTAACTTTTAGCAGGCCTGTCAAAAAGGTTAGCTATCACTGGCTAAAGTCAGCAGTTCTCAGACCATGTTCTGAAGAACGCTGGGGTTCCACAAGGAGATTGGAAGTAAGAAAGAAGTAGCCCAGGCAGTCCCCTGCCAGACTCTCTGCATCAGCTCACAGGATAGGAAGTAGGGGTTCTGTGGCAGAAATGATTTGAAAGTGTTCCATGACTTCAGAAAGTTTGAAAACTACTGATTTAGGTTATAAACTTTGCCATTCCTTATCAGGGAACTGAATCTCAAGCTACTTCCAGGCTATGAGACCAGAAGTCCTAAGAGTGTAGAGAACTGCAGCCATTTTCTTCACACAACATCAAGGGACTGCCTTAGAGGTTTCCACTGAATATGCCAAAAGTTAAGGCTTTAAGTAATAATGGTCTGATCATTTTTTGGGGTGTCTTTTCTTCTCCCCTCCCACAGTGGTGATGAACACTTGCAGTTCTCTTTGTCAACTGGAGCTGCAGGTGCTCAACACATGAAAAAATCAGATTCCTCTTTCTTGTTAGCTTGATGGTTAGGCAAGAAGATTTGGAAAATAAAGTCTGTGGGCCCATATGGATGTCAGTGAATGCTGTTCAGACAATTACTATATATACAAGTTAGCTATCAAACAAAGTAGAACACTTGCAAACTACCAGCCAAACAAGTGTTTAGGACCTGTGAGACTTCTAAATACATAATCCATATCCAGAAGGGTTAAGTCTAGTTGATGTTGACAAACACAGTGTTTGTTCTTTGAAAGAGATCAATGTTTTCCTTTTACATGCCCTGTTTTCCTAGGAATTGCTATGCAGATGGTATGTAGTATTAGTCACTGCTTTAGAGACCTTTTGTATTATTATATTATACTTGTTTTTTTTGCCTTCAAATTAAAGATTATTTCAGTGCATTATGTGGTTGCTATTAAATTATGACTGCTAAGTGTAACTGCTGCTTTTACCTTGAGTTTTGGGTCATTTTAATATTAAAATAACAAAAGATTTAAATTTTTTATTACCAAGATTCCACAACAGTATTAGTTAAGTATTCTCTTGTGATTATGACTAGTTCTTTTCTTGCTGCAGTGATGATTTTGTTCCACTTCAGCCTTCTGGAGGAATATTTCATTGGTAGATTAGTTAAGGATTATTCCAAATGACTTCGTCTCATTATGCAGTATTGGGACAACTCCTGTGTCCTTGATGTAATTGATTCAAAATATCCTCAGCCTCAAAGGGTCAAGACTCGAGAGTGACTTATGAAATCCAGCATTTTATCAAAATCTGAAATATCTAATATAACCTGTCCTAAAAACCATATTTAAAAGACATTCTCAGGTTAAAGGTCTCTAATTTTGCTTATGTTAACATGTCAGAAACAAAAATGAAGGATTCTGCATCTAACTTATTTTCCAACATTTGTTCACCTTCCCTTCTACACTTTGCTTACTTGACCCCAATAGAAGCAAGTTTCACTTTCTGACTGGTCACATGGTGTTGTATCTTCTCAACAGAAATACTCCTTGATGTAGTATTAGATTTCCTTAGGGTAGGAAATAAGGGTAGGAAATTTCTAAATAAGCACTGCCCTTAGAAAAACTACAGTGCAACCTATGAACTGGACAGTTTTACATTTCAGTTTTTGGAAGCGACTTTGGCCTAAAAAATTCACTATAGATTTATAAAATATTGCACTTGAGCACAGACCAAAAAATTAAGACTTGCTTTTAATTATTCAGACAAGCTAAATTGGACAAGCTAAATTGCCACGCGAATGAGCTCCAGGTAAGCACTGTTTAGAAATGAGGCCAATATTAAATTGCACATTAGTGCAGAAAACAAGAAGCTTGTCCTAGCCAGTATTTAACAAGTTGAGTGTTCTCTATTTAATTGGAATACAATTTGATGGGAAGTTGGGGAAGTTCATACAGAATTGTCAAATAAACCTTGAAATAAGTGGGTATAATAAAGTAGAGCACTTATTTTAGCTCCACACTTTATTTTAAAGTGGGAACAGATTTCCCCATAAAGTCAAGGAAATAATTTGTCTTAATTAAGCCAGTTCTTTCATCAGGATGTTAGCATGCCTGCTAGGTTGCCTTAGTTACAGGGGTGTGAAATAATGCAATTAATTAATAATCTTTGCCTTTGGATCTAATATCGTCCTATTTAGGTTTATTGACTGGTGTTGTTGTGGACTCTGGAGATGGTGTAACTCATATTTGCCCCGTGTATGAAGGTTTCTCTCTTCCTCATCTCACCAGAAGACTAGACATTGCTGGGAGAGATATTACCAGATACCTTATCAAGGTAAACTAGAAAAAAAAGAAAACGTGAGTTTGTCCATGTCTTAATGAAAGCACATTTATATTGTCTTCAAGATTTGGATTTTAAAATCAAATACTTTGCTTCACAAGCTAGTAAAAGTTGTTCAGAAAGAAGAATGTTTCCTAGCTATTATAGGAAAATTTGCTATGGAATCTCTCTTGCTCCAGAATCCTCTTTTAAAATACAATTTTAGTCTGTGGATTACATCAAGGGTGTCAAACTTACAGCCTGTGGGCCAGATCCAGCCCCCAGGGGTACTCTTATCTGGCCAGCCAGACTGCCAGTTGGTCACTGGATTTTTGGGTAATGTAGCTGGGAGGAGTAGTTTGTTGCAGAATCCAGGGCCCTTGAGCCCTGGTGTCAGTGACACTTAGTGGCAGGAGGGGGAGTGAAGGCTGCCACAACCCTGTCTGCCCTCCTTTTCCTCTTTCCACTACCTCAGTCCTACCTTCTTGGCCGCACGGCTCCTGCCGTGTGATCTGTGCTGGAGCTGCCACAGTGGCACAGAGCATTCAGAAGCAGCCTCAGCTCCAGTTCCAGCACAGGCATGTCTCAGGGGGCTCGCATCACTGCTACATGCTCTTGGTCAGAGCCAGAGCTGCTAATGCCACTGCCACGTACTCCAGGTTAGAGCTGATGCCACCATTACCTCCTGTCTTGGGCTGTACTTGGCCTGCACAGAGCCCCACAACCCAGATCCAGCATGGGACACAAGGTGAATTTGACACCCATGGGTTATATAAACCACATTCTAAATATAAACAGCAAACTGATTGCAGACAGGGTGCTCCTGGATCATGTCTACCTCCCAGGAGAAGCAAGGCTTGAGATGTGGTGTACTAGATGACATCATGTTTCCTTAGAAATTTCCAAAATAGGCTGGATTTATACTAAGATACAAAGTTCCAGTTTGAATTGAAGTATAATTTGCACCTTCTCCTAGTTCCTTAGGATAAGAAGTATTATTGTCTGAATTTGGACTCCACATGGTCCAGTTTCACAAGATGGGTGAATCCACTCCTGATTCAAATTTAATCATTTAATGACTATATTATAAAAAAAAGATTTATGTCTTATTTGGCAAAAATACATGCTTCTTGACCTGCATATTAAAGCTAATATTTTGCTCTGGTGTAGTTTGGGATTTAGCCACTCTAGTGATGGGGGCATTTTCTGTGTTTGTAGGTCTTTAAAATTGGAGTCAGCCTTTAAAGACTTTCTAAGATGTAGGAACAGCTTTGCTAGCTTTTTCATGTGGCTCTGTAGAGATAGCAACTCTGGTCCAAATAAAGTGGTAAATTAAAATGAATTGTACCATTATAAGTGATATTAACACACTTGAGCTCTGAGGGCAGGGTGGCACCTAATTAGTTCAGAGGAAGCATCTGATTTTTGCCTTGCTTTTTCTTTTGTTGGAAAAAATCATTTATAGTGAACTATAGTGGTAAATGTGATTTCCAGTTTTCAGAGTAATCCTATGATTTTTCTGCTGTTGGAAATGAGTAACTTGACCTCTGTTCTTATTTTACGTTACAAGCATGATTTCTTTGACCTCAGCCATGTTTCTCATTGAAGTCAGTATGTCCCTGAATAAAAAATCAGTTAAATGTATGCTCACACTTAATCACTGATACAAAACTGAGTCACTCCAACTTTACTTGAATATTTTCAAACAGCTGCTGTTACTGAGGGGCTATGCCTTCAACCATTCTGCTGATTTTGAGACTGTTCGAATGATCAAGGAAAAGTTATGTTATGTGGGATACAACATAGAACAGGAACAGAAATTGGCATTGGAGACCACAGTATTAGTTGAGTCTTATACGGTAAGTAATGAGAGAGACTAATTTAGGAATAGAAAAATCATAGTTTTAACTTAAATACTGGTGTTCTTAAAAAAAAAAAAAAAAAAAAAAAAAAAAAAAAAAAAAAAAAAAAAAAAAAAAAAAAAAAAAAAAAAAAAAAAAAAAAAAAAAAAAAAAAAAAAAAAAAAAAAAAAAAAAAAAAAAAAAAAAAAAAAAAAAAAAAAAAAAAAAAAAAAAAAAAAAAAAAAAAAAAAAAAAAAAAAAAAAAAAAAAAAAAAAAAAAAAAAAAAAAAAAAAAAAAAAAAAAAAAAAAAAAAAAAAAAAAAAAAAAAAAAAAAAAAAAAAAAAAAAAAAAAAAAAAAAAAAAAAAAAAAAAAAAAAAAAAAAAAAAAAAAAAAAAAAAAAAAAAAAAAAAAAAAAAAAAAAAAAAAAAAAAAAAAAAAAAAAAAAAAAAAAAAAAAAAAAAAAAAAAAAAAAAAAAAAAAAAAAAAAAAAAAAAAAAAAAAAAAAAAAAAAAAAAAAAAAAAAAAAAAAAAAAAAAAAAAAAAAAAAAAAAAAAAAAAAAAAAAAAAAAAAAAAAAAAAAAAAAAAAAAAAAAAAAAAAAAAAAAAAAAAAAAAAAAAAAAAAAAAAAAAAAAAAAAAAAAAAAAAAAAAAAAAAAAAAAAAAAAAAAAAAAAAAAAAAAAAAAAAAAAAAAAAAAAAAAAAAAAAAAAAAAAAAAAAAAAAAAAAAAAAAAAAAAAAAAAAAAAAAAAAAAAAAAAAAAAAAAAAAAAAAAAAAAAAAAAAAAAAAAAAAAAAAAAAAAAAAAAAAAAAAAAAAAAAAAAAAAAAAAAAAAAAAAAAAAAAAAAAAAAAAAAAAAAAAAAAAAAAAAAAAAAAAAAAAAAAAAAAAAAAAAAAAAAAAAGTAACACTATAGATGTAAAGTCATAAGCTTTTCTAACGGTTAGAGACGACAACCCCAACAGCAGTAAAAAGGAAACCTACTAAAGTCCAAAATCTCTCAAGTGTATGGACATCCATTTTTTTTTTTTAATGTCTTTCTCTTTTAACAGCTGTGGTTCTTTTTTTCTTATGTCTTTACCTTCTTCTTTTCTTTTCTGACAGGATGGTTTATGAGAAGAGTTGCTTAAAGCTGCCTTCTCTTACAGGGTGTACCATATGTGCCATGCCAATGTTGTCCTATCAGAATATTTTAAGTGGAGGGTATTCTCCAGCAAAATTATGATTTCTTTTTTTGTCAATGAGATTTTCTACTCCTTTTTTTTATCAATAGTTGAAATCAAATTACTGTATTACCAAAGCAAACTTGGAGAAAATAGAAAACTGGGAGAACAGCAGATGGTTGCCAGATCTCTAGCTTCATACATCTAGCTGTTGAGACATCCTGAAAACTGATATCTTGTTCTGACTAGTGAAAAGCACAGTAACTTTTCCTACTACATAACTCATGATACGTTAAAACTAACTTAAACTGTGCTTACAAAGAATCTCTCTGGTATGTGGCTAAAACTTGAAAAGTTTCTAACTTCTGTACATAGGTGGAAAAAACACACACAATTAATTGCAAGACTTGGTATTGCTGTTGCAAATTTGGACAAAGATTTATTTTCTGTTTCATACTGTTAAGCAGTGTAGAAATTTAAAATGAGGTTAAAATTGTGCTCTCTTTTCTATAGCTCCCAGATGGCAGGATTATCAAAGTTGGTGGTGAACGATTTGAGGCACCAGAAGCCTTGTTTCAGCCTCATTTAATCAATGTAGAGGGGGTTGGTGTTGCTGAATTGCTGTTTAACACCATCCAGGCTGCTGACATTGACACCAGGTGAGAGCAGAACATTCAATAATACTTCTCTCTAACTTCTGTCAACAAAAAAGGATAGACCAGAATAACATCAGTTAAAGAACAAAAGTTACAGTGCTTAAAAGTAAATAACAAAATCATTGGGAGAGGAACACCTACATGTGCTTAAGATCTCTGCTCTCTAGGACACTGTTCATGGAGAGTTTATATTGAGCAAGAAAAATATAGCTGTTTTACTGTTGAAAGTATAGGCTTTGCGTCAGTGATAATTGTCTGTATTTCTTGGTTTTACATTTGTTTATACACTGGGGTATCTACTAGTTATGCAAGGAGACACTAGAAAGAATGCTTTTTCTTTAGGTCTGAATTCTATAAGCACATTGTGCTGTCTGGAGGTTCCACTATGTACCCTGGGCTGCCTTCACGGTTGGAACGTGAACTTAAACAGCTGTACCTGGAGCGAGTTCTCAAAGGAGACGTGGAAAAACTTTCTGTAAGTAATGATTTTACACACTTATTTGTAGCTACATCCAGTATCCTGAATTACCACAAGAGGGAGCCAGATGGACAGGAATAGAAAAGAACAGTTCCTGCCATGTGTCTCTTAACATTCTGTCTTTCTAACTACACACCAGTGTTTCAGACAGTCTGTAATACAGGTTTTCTAGTGATTTGCTTAAATGAACTTGAAGTAAGGCCATACTCTGGTACTAAGTGAAGTTTGAAATTTGGGTTTGTTTCATGTAAATGTGCTCTTAAGCTTTAGTGTTCCAAAGCCCCCCTGTATCTTAATAAAATACTGTTATATGAGCAAAATCAACTGGGGTTTTTTTTGGGGGGGGGTGTTTCTGGAGCATTGTTGCATGCTGCATATCACAGGTTTGAATTTAACCTCTGAGTAGTTCACCCGTGTAGCCAAGTTTTTCTTTAACAGTTCTACCATTACTCTGTGCGGGTCAATTTTCTGTCCCCTTTCCCTTTTATTCATTGATTACTGTTATGTTCAGACAACAGTATTGCTCGTATGTTACAGAACTAGACCTGTATTGCATTGCTGCCTGCTTTTTAAGGAGTTTTTTTAATAGAAGAAATGCTTTATGCATGCTGTTTTTAATGTTGAATTATGTCCAGGTTTTAAAAAAATATCCTTTATTATGACATCCATCCTCTAACAGCTTATTTCACCCTCCCCCCCCCCCCCCAAAAAAAGTTCAGTTATTATCCAGATAATCTTTTAAATGTACAGAATATTAACCATATCAAAATAATTTAACTTCTGAACCTTAACCCAACTTTGAGACCTTGTCTGTTTTTTTAATTTTTTACAAATAAAAAATTCCAGATACCTTGCTACTTTGGTTCATTCTTCTATAGGAGAGTTAAAGTTGAAATCCACTAGGAGAATTCTTTAGGTTCTCTTGTGGTCAGAATATATGCATAAGACTGTTCCTTTCCTGTTGTCTCTATCCATGATTTAGCCTAACTTTGCTTATACAAACCCTGCAATATTTTGTGAATAAGTCCACTCTTCTGATAATCTTAGCCACGCACTGGAAAAAAAATTTAGAAATTCCGTGCTGTTCATGAAATGCTAAATTCAAAATCCATGTTTTACATTTGAATGCTGGTTGGGGGGGGGGGGCATTGTGTGCATGTCGTTTTATTTTTTGTTGTTTTAATGGATAGTTTGCTGAGTAACTTTAGGAAATATATCTGTCTGTCTCTAATTTCTGGTGCATCATAGTTATTTTCCTTCAGATTGCACAAGCTGGAAGCTTGCACACTGAGCGCCCTCAGCTAAGCCCTCTAGTTTTGTGTGCACATTCTCCGTATTGAACAATTCCTACTCCACTGTTGCAGCAAATGGCATGGTTTTTTTGTGTGGTTTTATGTTGAGTCCCAACAATATGGTCTCCCTTTTCCTTCCTAGAAATTTAAGATCCGAATTGAAGATCCACCTCGTCGAAAGCACATGGTATTCTTAGGTGGTGCAGTTCTAGCAGACATCATGAAAGACAAAGACAACTTCTGGATGACCCGACAAGAATACCAAGAAAAGGGAGTGCGTGTGCTGGAGAAGCTTGGTGTGACTGTTCGATAAAGCTCAGTGCTTATTCCTGTCACATGTTTAAAGCTTTTTTTTTCTCCCCCCCCCCACCCCCTTTCATTGCCAATCTGAACTCACTCAGCTACATGACATGGGAAAACCTGTCTATGGTCTTTGACCCAAAGGTCAGGTTTTGTTCTGGTTTCTTGGGGTAGCTGTTGTTTAATGTTTCTTAATGTGGCTAAATTTGCCTATTTAAATTGACCATTTCCCTGCAAACAGAACAGAGCAAGAGTGGCCTGTCTTCCTCATTGTTCCCTCCCAGTAGGCACTTGGGTAATTTGGTAGGCTTTTCCGGCAAGGTTTATTGTTGTAATACTGCTAAGCTTTTGTGTCTAGCTCCCTGAGGGTGGTGTGCCTTTTTAACATAAGAAAACTTTTGAGCCTCAGCTTTTACCACCTGTTATTCTCATGATTACCTTTTGTATCTTTTGGCCTTCATCTATGTTGGCATTTCTTTACCACAGTTAGAAATTTTGATTTAAACACACAGCTTAAGCAGCCAAGTGAGTACATTTGGATGTTCTATATGCATTAGCCTTCTAAACTGGCTAACATTTACTTGGAACTATTTAAACTAAGTGACTTAATAGATCAGGGTTTTCAGGCTGACCTTTTTTTCTTGAAAAGCGAATAGTTAATCAGTTCTTACCACAAAATAAACATTAAGAAATCTTGAACATTTTGACAAATTCAGATTTGTGGCCTTCCAGTTGTTCACAGCTGTGTTGCTTTTTTGCAGTGGAATGCTCGGAGTCAATTTAATTTGCAAATTCTTTTCTTTTTTTTACAGTTAAGTTTTGGTACCATCCTGTATCTCTATATAGAGGGCAAGGATTGTTAAATTACTGCCTAACAAATTTAAATGATGAGCTGGGACTGGAGCCTCCAAAGCCTTTCTTTTTTGATAGATGGACATGTTAAAAAAATGCTTGTGAAAATTGTAATTATATGTGACATTAAAACCCCAACAAAGTTATAGAAGTTTGACATTTCTGTAAGTGCTTTTGTGTATATCACAACTTAGCAAGTACATTAACGTGGTGCCAAGTAGTTATTGCAAATTAATCTTTCATGTTACTGACCAGTGTTTGTTAAAACAAAGAGATATTTATAAACAGCCACCCGGCAGTAGGTTATAAAGAATTACCTATATTTGTTGCAGTTAAAAATAACATTGGAATACGAGACTTGTGGCTATTTACCAACTAGTAACAATTCAATCTGTCCGGTTTTTTTTTTTTGCGCTATTTCTGTGGAATTGGGAAGGAAGCAAAACCAGTGTTGGGAAGTCTTTCTAAAAAAGCACATTAAAGCTGAGTTCTACTGAAAAATAGGTGGTGTCACTGGTCATCAACAGCCATCTCGTTTGGGTTTAGTTACCAGTATCTTTTTATTTGTAAACAGAAATATTGGTAACATCTTCAGAATAAAATCTGTCACCTCAATGTGAAGTGTAGCAAAAACTGCTTGCATATCTGCATGCCAATCAGATAGATAGTTAATTTTGCTTCACTCTTCGTGGAACTAACACATTAGGTATTTTCTTCCTTATCACATTTGAGGAAAAGATAGCTACAATCTATTTAAAAAATAGGAACTAGACTTTCAGAGTTCAGTATGCATTCTATTGGCATGCATCTCAGTAGTACACATCTTTTGATATCAATATTTTGCCCTCAAACCTTCCTTTTAATTTTAGAGACTTTTCTTTCATAAGTTGATGGCAAAACCTTCCTTTTGGCTTAGAGGACTAATATGCAGAAGGCATAACGTCTGCATTTCTTTTAATGCTAAGATAGTCGCTGAACTACTGTTAGTAATGACCATTTAATTATAGGAGGGTGTTTTTTCAGCAATATTTACCCTCAGCTTGAACAATATGAATTTATAGGCATGCTGGTCATGCCTCAAAGCATACCTTTAAACAGTCGCTAGACTTCTGGGGACAAGAATGTAAGGGGTACTCTGAATTCCTATAGTTTTCTGTAAACTCAGTACACAAAAAATCCTTTAGAAATGCTATACAGCAGACAGTAGTAGAGGACTTGCTTTTAGAACAAATTAGCAGCAATGGCTTCTCATGTGGTGTATGTTTCTGGGCTTGTGGACACAGTGTTGGGAACCATGGGAATAAACCAAAGAATGACATAAGGACTTTCCTTTTTAGAATGACAATCTGTCATCTGACTTCACAAATATAGGGCCTGACCCTGCAATCCTTTCAGGATCTGACCCTTGCACTGGAGTACTTACAGTATCGTGAGCATGAGACGAGTGAGAGGCCACTTGATTGTGCGGTAACTTGGGTTTCTGTGGAAACTCAGCATAATTATTTAAAAGAAAATCTTTAATACTTTAAATGATTGCTACCCTGGATATGAAAGACTGCTCTTACCAACTTACCATTGGGTAATGTCTGTGTTGAACGAGTGTTCCAGTTGCTCTGGGTGATCCTCCTATCCTGTGTGGGCTGTCAGTTTGGACCTTTCCTATTGCTGCAAAAGCGATCTGGTTTTAAACCTTTTTGAAGACCAAATGCTCAAATTTGCAATATGCTTCAGCTCCCATTAAAGTTGCCTCTGCAGTTGTGAGAGTTCTTGGGAACATCCTATTTTTAAACTTAACCTGCTTTGAAAATGCAATGTTTTAGGATGTTAACCTATGTAGTAACACAAATGGCTTTTTATATAGTTCTGAGCAGTGTTAAAAACAAACAAAACACACAATGCCATATGAGAGTTCATGAATGGAAACACCATTAAATTGACAGGTCTTTTCAATTACGAAAAAATAAAATCACATTTTTCAAGGTGGCTTGTTTGCTTTGTCTCCTTTCAGAAATCACAAATCTGTCTCTTTTTTTTTTTTTCTCCTGTAACTAACATTTTTAATATGAAACATTACAGACTGGTAATCCTGGGGAATCTGATGCATTGAACTAACCCACTGTTAATTGCTCCTGGTTATGCATTGGCACCCTATGTTTCCTAAATGATTGGAAAAGAAACATGTGGGTGGAAAGTAATCTTATCAAGACTTGTCCCCCAGTTGAAGGCTAGCAAGTGTTACACTTTCTGTACATGGTAATGTGCAAAGGGGTGCTAAGACCTCTCAACTTCCATTGACTTTGGAATACTCTGAGAAATGTGCTGACCCCAGGTCACATTATAGAGCAAAATGCTTCAAAGTAACATTTTCATTGTGGGGAAAAAACTCTCCTTGCCTTTAACAAAGTCAGTGGCTGCTAAAATAAAATAAAATTGTGTTCATTGAAGGTGCACTTGTTCAAAACAGCTTTATTTGGGAAACTGTTCATGTTGGTTCTTTTAATTCTCTAAATTGCCTTGCAGATATGGTGAAGACAGGATCCACTGCTTAAATTGAACTGGCTTTGGTAAGTATTTAGCAATGTAGTTGGCTTTTAAGCATGGTTTGTGTCCACGTGGTAATATCAGCGTAACAGCACGTTGTTTCACAGTTACTATTCAGTATTAGCTGGCACAGAGTATTTCTTTTGTAACCGTATTGGCATGTGGAATAGTACCCCTGACTGTACCGTGTTAACAGGCCTGGTCAACCTTTCTTTCTCCCAGGATGCTGTACGTGTCATTCTACATGCGAGTCTTCCAGGCACTCTGCCCCCTGCTAAGGAATTATAGGAAAACTTTTTTTTCTAGACTTTTTTTCTAGTGTAAACTAATACCACAGGCACCATAAGAGATGATGACACATTTGATGCTATGAAAAATGCTGTTCTGTCTCAAATTGGGATGAATGTCATGGCACAGGCAAATACTTGTATCCAGCACCTTAACAGAGGAGGGGGAGGGGAGTACTTTACAGGATCTTGCCACAATGCATTCTGGAAAATCATGCTTTACCTTTGCTTGCTTGTTTGCTTAATAATTTTCCAGATTCTTTGTTTGGCCAGTGTGTCTGTATGCCTGATTAACATGGCTTGTTTGTGTTTATAGTTGTTTCTGTACAGCTCATCTCTGCGTCAGCATGTACCTAGTTGGGTGAAAGCTGATTAGCATTCCTCCCTATAGGTGGTTTTCCAAGAGAAGCTCTTTATAAGACCCAAGCTTTGGTACCAGTTCAAACATTGCCTAGAATAAGCCTTTTAACTAGGTGTTTGTTTCCAAATTCTTCTCTTTTCCTATATTCTGTCTAATATGAAAACTGCTATAAATTCAGAGATGGTTAGAAAAATGTATTGCATACTAATATAAAGTACACAAGAGTACTTGCTTTTTTTTCCTCAACCCAAAACATTTGGAAAAACCAGGGAAGAAATGAATGACCATGAATGCTTTTCTGCCAGCTTACCTTTTTTTGCTTGGTGCTGCAGAACCAAGCAAGCGTCTGGGGAAAATCTCCTTCATTTCAGTATTATAGGAAGACAAGCACCTCACACTCATACCTCGCTTAAGTAGAAGGAATGAGTTTTGCCTATTACCGTCACTGCCTAAGGTTATAGAAGAGTTGACTACGCGCACAAGGAAAGAAGCAAGCAGTATTGCATAGCTTCTAATACCAACATGTATTCGTAATGTTTAAAAGTACTTCTAACAAAATATCATTCAAGGGAATACATGTTTCCAAACAGCCAGTGTTTACAACACAGCTGAAACCCCCTTTAACAGGAGAACGTGGAGCACCTGATTCACGGACAAAAAGCTGCACCTGTCAAAAGTTTGACAATGTAGAAATTCTTTAACCTAATCGCACCTTCCCCAAATCTAAGGACATGGTCTTGGCATCACTGGGCTAGGAAGGAAATTTTAGGAGCAGAGGGAACTGACACAGCTATGGGCAGATCTAGAATTTTGAAAAGGGTGGAGGAGATTGTGAGGTGCATCATCACATGTAAAGCAACACATCTTTATCCAGTTAAAATCAGATTAGACACTGGTGGGGAAGTGGGGGACCTGGAGGAAGCACAAGGGGAGCCCCCCTTTATTCTTCCTGAGGAAGTAGAGCAATCAACTAGTTACCTCAGGTGCCTGTACATGAATGCAGAGCCTGGGAAGCTAGCAGAAATTGGAAGTCCTCACACAGTCAAGGAACTATGACGTGATTGGAATAACAGAGACTTATTGCTCCAGTCACGTGAGCTATCCCACCATCATGGATGGGTACAAACTGTTCAGGAAGGACAAGCAGGGGAGAAGGGGAGGAGTTGCGCTGTATGTAAAAGAGCTGTAAGATTGCTCAGAGCTCCAGTATGAAACTGTTGAAAGTCTCTGGGTTAAGGTTAGAAGGGAAAACAACATGGGTGATGTTATGCTGGGTGTCTGCTATGGGCCACCAAACCAGGAGGATGAGGTAGATGAGGCTTTCTTCAGACAACTAGCAAAAGTTTCCAGATCACAGGCCCTGGTTCTCATGGGGGACTTCAATCACCCTGACATCTGCTGGGAAGACAATACAGCAGTGCACAGGCAATCCAGGAATTTTTCGGAGAGCATTGGAGACAATTTCCCAGTGCAAGTATTGGAGAGAGCAACTAGGGGCTATGCTCTTAAACTGCTGCTCACAAACAGGGAAGACTTGGTGAGGGATGTAGAAGCAGATGGCAACTTGGGCAGCAGTGACCACGAGATGATTGAGTTCAGGATCCTGACAAAAGGAAGAAAGAGCAGTGGAGTATGGACCCTTGACTTCAGAAAAGCAGATTCTGACTCCCTCAGGGAACTGATGGGCAGGATCTCCTGGGAGGCCAGGCTGATGGGGGAAGGAGTCCAGGAGGGCGGGTTGTATTTTAAAGAAATTACTGAGGGCACAGGAACAAACCATCCTGATGTGCAGAAACAATAAATGGCAAGCAACCAGCTTGGCTTAAGCTCACTGAAAAGTTCTCTGCTAAACACAAAAAGGAAGCTTACAAGAAGTGGCAGCTTGGACAGATGGCTAGGGAGGAGTATAAGAATAAATATTGCTTGGGCATGAAGGAGTGAAATCAGGAAGGTCAAAGTGCAATTGGAGTTGGAACTAGCAAGGGACATAAAAGGGTAACAAGAAGGGTTTCCTCAAGTAGGTTGGCAACAAAAGGAAGATCAGGGAAAGTATGGGTCCCTTACTGAATTGGGGAGGCAACCTAGTGGCGCATGATGAGGAAAAGGCTGAAGTACTTAATACTTTTCTTACGACGGTCTTCACAGGCAAGGTCAACTCCCAGACTCCTTCACCGAGCAGCACAATTTGGGGAGAAGGTGAGCAACCCTCAGTGGTGTATGATCAGGTTGGGAACTATTTAGAAAAGCTGGTTGTGTACAAGTCCATGAAGCCAGATGCAATGCAGCTGAGGGTGCTGAGAGAGCTGGCTGATGTGATTGCAGAGCCACAGGCCATGATCTTTGAAAACTCATGGTGATCAGGGGAGGTCCTGGATGAATGGAAAAGGGCAAATATAGTGTCCATCTTTAAGAAAGGGAAGAAGGAGGATCCAGGGAATTACAGACCAGTCAGACTCACCTCTGTAGCGGGTAAACTGAGTTATGCTCAGGTTCTTAGCATAACTTTAGGTCTTCCCGGAACTAAGCAATTAAATTGTACCGAGTGCCTTATAAGGCACTGGGAAAAATGAGTGCCATGATTGGTACGGTGGGCTAACCAGGTACAGTAGTTTCCCTAGAAGGAAAAAAAACAGAATAGGATTGGAGTACCTTATCTAAAAAGATGAGGTAAGAAACTTGAGGATTGGACAATTTGAGATGAGCAAGTTACAAACGTAGTGAACAAACAAAGAGACAGCGTGTGTTTGTGTTGCCACCCTGGGGAGACGGGAGCAGCCTTGGAATTCTTGTTCAAACAGCAAGGAATCCAGAAACTAACATCGCACACACCCAGCAAAAGATCTGAGGCCGGTACCACCGAAGATTGCAATTGTAACATCTAAGGAATCACTTGCCAGGTCGTATTGCAAGGGTAGTTATCTTGTAATAAGCCTACGGGTTACTAATGAAGTTCACTTGATACCAAATCAGACGAGGGGCCGTGTCAATCCTTGGGGGTCTCTGGTTAAAGGAATCCTAGGGCAACAACCTCAGTCCACAGAAAAATGGAGCAGGTCCCCAAGGAATCCATTTCTAAGCACTTGGAGGAGAAGAAAATGATTGCGAACAGTCAGCATGGAATTGCCAAGGGCAAGTCATGCCTGACCAACCTGATTGCCTTCTATGATGAGAACTGGCTCTGTGGATGTGGAGAAAGCAGTGACTAGTAAGGCTTTTGACATGGTCTCCCACAGCGTTCTTACAAGCAAGCTAAGGAAGTATGGGTTGGATGAATGGACTGTAAGGTGGATAGAAAGTTGGTTGGACCATTGGGCTCAATGGGTAGTGATTTAATGGCTTACGGTCTAGTTGGCAGTGCCCCAGGAGTCGGTCGTGGGGCTGGTTTTGTTCAATACCTTCATTAATGATCTGGAAGATGAGATGGATTGCATCCTCAGCAAGTTCATGGATGACACTCAGCTGGGGCAAGTAGTAGATACGCTGGAGATTAGGGCTAAGATTCAGAGCAGTTGAGACATATTGGAGAACTGAGTCAAAAAAAAGATCTCAAGGTTCAACAAGAGTAAGTGTAAAGTCCTGCATTTAGGATGGAAGAATCCCATGTACCGCTAAAGGCTGGGGACCAACTGGCAAAGCAACAGCTTTGCAGAAAAGGACCTGGGGGTTACAGTGGACAAAAAGCTGGATATGAGTCAACGGTGTGTCCTTGTTGCCAAAAAGGCTAATGACATATTGGGCTTGCTTAGTAGGAGCATTGCTAGCAGATCAAGGGGAGTGATTATTCCTATCTATTC